CTGCTGAAGTGCCCTGCCCCTTACCTGCACAAGGGCCTCAGCCCCTCGTGAAGGCTGCGAAGGTGCTTGCATTCCCCTGCCTGTCACATCCTGTTGAGGGATAGGGGGATGAGTCGAAGGGTTTTGTTGGATCAAGATCAACACCCTTCTTCCACTGAATGTCGTAAAGATTGGTTGGGATTTCAGACTCTGAACTAGGAGGTGAGAGAGAAACCCTAGTGCATGTACAAATTCAGAGGTCTAGGAAAGAGCCCTCAAAACCAGAGGGATGCCTTGGGGTGAGCAGGCTGGTCATGCTGCAGCTTCTGGAGTATCAGCAAACCATGCACAGAGTCCAACATGGGGCCAGGGTGCAAGGCTGCCTCCAGCTGCCTCATCATCTGCCACAAGGAGAGGGCCCCAATATATGGAGCTTTCTATACTGAGTTAACCAGACAACAGGTAGAAAAATATCTGCACACTTCTCTAATTTCCAGTAAAAAGTGAAAATAAAATAATTTTAAAATAAAATGATTTTAAAATAATAATTTAAAATTAATAAATTAAAATTAACCCACAGAAGTAAATTATTTACCTAAAAAGAAAACCCAAATACCACACAAAAACCCATGCCATCAACTTGCAACCATTTTCTTCCTGTGAAATCCAGGTTTCCATAGCATACTATTGCCCAGTCTCCTCGAGATTTTCCACCACACAATATTTTTCATGACAGAGCAGCTACAAGGAAGCTCCTTAGTGACAGGTGTAGTTTACAAAACACACCTTTATCAACCCCACAAAAATGTACCGGTGCTCAATGCCTGTCAAAACCCTGAAGTTTCCAGCATTCAAAAGAAAAATCTCACAAACAGCCACCCCTAAAGTGTCAAATATTCGAAGCAGGTGCAAGCATGCACTGAACTGATAGGTTATCACCAACAGCTGTGGCAATGACAGTACCTACATACTGCTGGAAAGAAATACAAAGTCGTGAATTTTTAACTTCTGATATTTGTTCATGCTTAAAACAGATACCAACCTGATGACCTCCAGGGCTCACCTGAATATTGAGATGACTCATACTTGGATCGATACAGTGAATTCATCCCTCAGCAAAAGTTCAAATCTAAATGAGACCTTATTGCATATTAAACACTAGATCTGCTGTTCTTTGTCCCCACTTCCTGATCCCCATGCAGCATATTTAAAGGGAAGGTATAACAGGCCTGGCAGAATGACACACACCATCCTACAAAGCAGAAGCTTTCATACAGCTGCTGTAACTTCAGCTGCAACTGAAGCTGAAGTGGTTTCTCAGGTTTTTGGGAATAGGGAAAACTTTCCATTAAAGCGCAGGGCAAAGAGCAGCAGCATAAGAACACAGTCACAATAATATTGGGAACGGCAATATTCAAATACACTGCAAGCTGCCCTATTTTTAGGCACACAGTGTTTAAGTAGTAGAATAAGAAGGTGTCTGCCTCTGTGGTAGAGAAAAATTGGAGGTTAGGGTACAGGACCAGCATGGAATCTGGTGAATGAGGGATATGGCGAGGAGCACATGCAATACCAGTGCTGCAAGATGAGCCAGACAGACCACTGTCATGGTGTTGGCCCTTTATGCCAACTCAGGAATCACCTTTTCAAGTCACTGACTTCTACAGTAGAACTGCTCATACTTGAAGTTTCTTGGAACTAGACGTCTTCAGTCTAAGAAAGCCTTTCACTACACTGAAAGTACAATGGAAGTTCAAGCTCAGGATAGCAGTGCAGATGCCTCCAAAGATACAGGCTGTTTACCACTGACTTGCCTGTTGCAAACTCTTCAAGCAGAATCATCTTACTGGTAACCTATGGGCGTGAAACCTGGCCAGCATCAAACCTAAAGGCAGAACACTTTAGAAACAGCTTTTCTGGAAACCGAAAACTCATTCACGCTTACTCATCAAGATCATTTAACACATGATGCAGTACTGACATCCAGGACCTGATTAGCCTGTTTATTCAACAACACTCCTCCATGCCTTCTTGACCAATGTTATGGCAAAACAAATTAGGTACGTATCCAAATGGGTTTACTAGATATATTAACTAAATGAACTCAGTAAACCACCAAAACAGTTTCCTGGAAGTCTTGCTGGCACCATACTGCACTCCTGTAACTGGTAAGTGTTACGGGCTGATGCAAAACTGATTCTACCTGGGATCAATGCCATGCCAATCAGCTTGTTATATTAGCATATAAATTATTTTCTACCCCGTGAAGCTTTGCTGGTACTTTGTGTTTTCCTTAAATATCAACATCAGTAAGTTTCACATGGGAAATTCCTTAAAACATTCTGAATGTGTGATACCCACCCTTAGAAACTGCACTAAAATGTGTAGTTTTTTGCCTACACGGATTTTTTTATTTTTTTATTTTTTCACCTCAGTAGTTGCCATGAGAAGGGAGCTGGTATTCCAGAGATTCTCACTCAGATTCCACCTTGAATCATCCAGTATGAAGTGAAATGTAGACTAGCAAAAATTAAACTTTGCAAGGGGCTGGAGAGACTAGACCTAGTTAGGCAAAGATGCGACACATACAGTAACAACCTAGGGTGTAATCCCACAATACTCCTTAGTGAAATTGCTGACAGTTCTTTGGCTTGTGGCAATTAGCAGGTTTCCAAACACTGGTTGAAGTTCAGTGTGGGCTAAGGGCCACTCTCATGGGCTGCTTTGTAAAGGAGTTTAACCATAAAGAAGTAATTTTGGTCTTATGACTACAGACCTAGCTCTGGCACTGCAACTACTGGAACAGACATAGAAGAATAAAAAACAAAACAGTGTGGCACAGGAGAGGAGGAGACCCTGCATGAATATGGCAATAAAGCCACATGACTAGAAGCCAGAGTGAAACGGGCACATTGATGTGGGAAATGTAGCAAATTCAGTCTACCATCTGCTATGTAAAAAAAATAAGGCTGAAGAATTTCAGTGCATGAGACCTCTCTGCTGTAACAGCTGCTCGGATGCAATAATCTTTTTTGGAGAAGACTAGAAGTAACGAGACAAGGCAGGTATACAAAACTTTTTATTGACAACAGAACATAAGAGAGGAACGTCACCACTTCCCATTCCTCAGGAATGTCTCCATTTCACAGTTTGCTAAAAGTATACTTTCATGGTAACAAGCAACACGAAGGTATGGAGTTGTCTGTAATCTCAAGAAAAAGGTTTCATCAGTGCAGTGTAAAGGGACAGACAGTGTGCAAGTGTGCAGCAGGCCCTGTCAAAACACAATCATGGCAGGCAACTGTATATGCAGAGCCAACAGGCACAGACATGAAGATTTAGAAGCCTCAACTTACTTCCATTATTTCTGAGGGCAATTCCCAAAGTGCCACTCCTTCCATAGCCTGTTTCAGAACTTACTGCTTTCCTCTCTCACTCCTTTTGCTTCCCCTGTCCTCAAAGATTTTAATCCTTCCAAATGAATGGCACCATGTCAAAGAATGCCTGAGCTTTTGTGTTTTGCTACCTCTTATCAGTTCATGCATGCACTTGAGTTTACTTTCAGAAGCTAACATTGACATAAAGAATGGGAAAAAAAGTGCTGCATAAGAATAAAAGTATTTAGTTGTTAATGCTTCCTTGCTAACAAAAGTATTTGGTAGTTGTTGAAGACACTCCTTGTAATATAATTTTTATAAAGTATGTGTGCAGTCTACTTAACATTTTATAGAAACTGCATTTCAAGTTCTCTTAACATAATTTAAAATACTATGAAATTAAATTTGAATTGAGATTCAATCTAAAAACCAAAATACCTTAATTTTAGCTTTCACAGTACATAGGACTGCACACAGAGTGCAAGATGACAGCACTCTTTCTCCTGTCAAAATTTCCTCTGCCTGCAGAACTGTTCTGGGACTCCTGTGTAGTAGCTTATACATTTGTTAACATCTATTAATTTATCATGTTTTTCATTCACTTAGCAGATGTGCCTCTGGATGTGTAGACTGGTTGTTAAAGTGCTTTAAAATAAAACAGAAACCCCAACAAAAGAAAACAACCCTCAAAAAACCACAACAGATGTGAGAATTATATCTGAAGGACTTTGTACAGCATTTACAATGTCAGCATAAAGCATCTGAAACATGAGCATTCCCTGCAGACTGATGCAGCACAAGCAGTCTCATACATTAGATACTGCCATTCCTCTGGATTCAAGATGCACAATACTTACAAAAACAACCCTAGAAGCACAGACAAATGCTGGTGGCTCTTCCTCTTCTTTTTTAGAAACATAATAAAAAATTTGCATTACTCTTTCATAATTTAAATACATAAGTAATCTCCACTTTTATTACTTCATGACAATGACTTCAAATTTACATTATTTTAAGTACCATCGTAATAGCTCCATGTATAATACAGATATTTGCTGATATCCTGTCAGAAAATAAAAAAAAAACCTTCCACTATATAGAAAAAATTATGCTGGAAAGACAAGAACACAGAACAGGGACTTGGTACAGACTATGATTTCAGTTTGATATCAACCACAGTTAACCCAAAATTAACAGATACACAACGATATTCAAAAGCAGTGCAAATATCTTTGGAGGTTAGAATAAAATTATACTACAAGAACATAAGACAGAAGAAATTAAAAGGCAAGTACTTCAAGTACAGGAACCAGTCTCTGTGAGGTCCATCTTAGTGTTAGCTGGGAGTTCCTTTTCCCCTTACTTCTTCCTCTGAAACACGTTAGCCAACATTGCACCTGATGTAGTCAGCTGGCCCATTTTGTTCAGAAACTTGGTCTTGGTATCTTCACTGACAAGGCTTGCTGCAATCGACATGGAGCTAGGAAAGCAAAAAATTTAGTGATGTGAGACTACAAAGGAAAAAGGAACACTGTGCTGTTACTTAATAACTGAATTTCTTCACATATTACAGGTTAAGATCACAAAAGACCAGTCCATCAAGAAGATTTGACAAACCATCACCACCAAGCCCAAATACAGTGTTTAAAGAGTTACTATGCCCTCATAATTATAGTGAAAAGCTGTAAACTATTATTGTGCACACTGCTTTTTACTGTCTTTAGAAGTCACCACTTAAGCATTTGTTAGCTACTTGACAATTGCTCTAGTGACAAATACCTCAATGAAGGAATGGCTTTACCATCTCACTGGAAACGTCAATCTTATTTACTGTAAGAGCAGCAGAGCTGGTTCAGACCAAATGTCTATCTAGCCCAAGCATCCTGCCTCTGACAGTGACCATTAGCAGACATGAAGGGAAGGGTAAAAGTGACTTCAGTATGAAACCGTGACTTCTTTCCTCAATTTCCAACTCTTTTATTTTCCAAATATTTCCACCCAAGCAGAATTTAAAATTGATGTGGACTGTCAGACTAGAAGTTCTCAACGAATTTTTATTTTCTATTACTTGCCCAGCCTTTTCTCGATCTCTCTGTAAACCCCGCCCTGGGACACCGAGCCCTACTAGGCCTACCCCTGGCTGGGTAAAGAGCTTTGTCCTTCTGGGTGTTGTGAATGTGATTCCTACAGCCTTTGCTTGAATATTCCTACTTCATACCTACTGGGAAGACAATGGGAGAGTCCACAATTTGCCCACAAACTGGACTAGAAGGAGAAATCCAATGATTGCTGAACCTACAAGTGGCTGCAACTTTGAACAACATGTTAAGGAATCATCCCAGTGCTGCTTAACTGTTTTTTTTTTAAAAAAGATTAAAACAGAGCAGTAAGCTCAACTTCAGAGGTATATAACAGTTTGGTATAGCAGGAGTAATCTGTCTCAAGACAGAGCACAAGGCAAAACAATAACAGTAGTAATAGTAGGAATATTAATAAATATTCCATACATCCTATAGTTGTAGTTAAAATGGCAAATGTATTTTTCAGTATTACACAGGGCCAATTTTACAAAACGTTACCAGTGAAATTCTCCCTTGTAAGCTCAGTGTGGACTCTGCATTTCAGAATTATCTGTAGGATCACAAGATCTGCCTTACTGGCACAGGCCAGCTTCCAGGAACTGACTTTTCAGTCTGCAAGGTTATAAACAGTTCTTTTAGACACTCCAGCATCAAGGCAGGTCAAGTTAACTCCAAATTGTTTCCACAGAATTACAGTTATTTCTTCAAAGGTAGCAGGGATGCATTCGGTACTCTTCCCATTTCATACCACAAAAAAAGGTGAAACAAATTCTGGTAGTGTTTAAACAGAGTACTTGAAAAACAAAACAAAACAACAGAAATGAAGCTTCTCACTAATTATGGATTCACAGATAGCCTAATTGTATCTTAACTATATCCCCATCCCTTCTACTTTTTCAGATTAAGTGAATCACAGTCTTCTGCACAGTTGACTAATAGACCTAGATCCTTGAAGGGGTCTGAGGGATGCCTCACACACAAAGTAACATAAATCATGCTTTTAGGTATTTTTTTTCAGTACATCTCCTATTCATGGAACAAATTATTCAAATCAATCATTGATTTATTCAAATGAATAATTTAAGATCTTATAATTAGCTGGTATTTTCTGAAAGCGATATGAAGTTTCTCATTGTGTAATATTTCATCTTTAAGTCTCATTCTATTGCAAGTACTATGTCTGAATTTTTAGTAAAATTTAAAATCCTGATTTTTTTATTCAGATTGTATCTCTTTTTAGACAACATCTAATTAAAAATGACATTTATTTTTAAAAATAATAATATTTTAATCCCATTCAGCAGCTAGTGATGAAGATATATAGCTGTTTTGAAATTATTTACAATGATTTTTAAAGTGAAATATTTCTTTCAGGCACAATCACATAGCCAGACATCTTTGTCTTGATTAAACACCTACAGTCAACTAAGGAATAGCATATTTTCAGTTGATAAAGCTTAACAGCTAAGTTACTGCTCCTCTAAGATTGATCTCCTTTGCAATTTCCCTTGATTTTATGATAAAGCAAAGCATATAAATTGTGTAAATACTTATAACTTATGTTATACTTGTATCAGCTGGCTACCAACAGGAAGCTATTCCAGTCTGTGATGTGTCCTAGAGCTGTGTCTAACTAGGGAAAATTATTTGGGAAATACAGCACATTCCAAGCATTAGCAACATCAAGAAAATCCAATTGCTCACTTCAGAAAAGAAAGCCTAGCAACTGGTGACAAACCTGTAGTGTTAAGCAAACTGTGGTGTCATTGTTTTAATGATTCTGAACAAGCTTGAGTAAAACTAGGAAATGTTCAATTGACTTTCAAAAAACTTTTGGAGGGTATCAGCCATCTGATGTTAACAATTAGAAATTAAGAACTGGAGTGTCTAGAAGTTAATATTTTCTATTAATATGTTAATGTAAACAGAAAGATAATCAACAAAACTCAACATACTTAAAAGTTCCAAAAGTATTTGTTACTATACAAATTGAACCCTTAATCATAAAATAAAAACAATATCAAAACAAATAACTTGAGTCTCATGTTTTGTTTTGTTTTTTTAATAATCAGAGAACCCAACAAGGCAGTAACACATCATGTTTGAAACAAGCAGTCCTATAGAAAAGTCCTTGGATTTACTCATTATGTTAAAAACAAAACAAAAACCAACACACAAACAAAAATAATGTGCAAACATCAATTTTTTGACCAGTGTCTAGATGAATTACATGCTACATAGGGTTCTGCCTGTTTTATGGGGAAGCTTGAGGCCAAAATAAACATTCATGCTGGACATTAAAAAAAAAAATAATATCATTTTGCAATGCAAGTTGTTACCCATAATTGAAATACCTTGTTAATTCCTAAACAAAATGTTTAACAAAGGCGCCTATCCAATATTTCAAAAGACAAAGTTTAATATATATATTTTTAAAACTGCTTCTGTGACCTCATTATTTGACCAACCTTTTCTAACATGAAGAGGCAAAGACAAGACAACAAACATAATCTTATGATTTTTTTGCATCCAGTTTTATTTTTGTGCATGCGTTCTCATGTTATTAATAAACTCCAGCAATTTATCTCCTGGTTGCATTTGAATCCTTTGTCAAATACATATTTAATGCTGAAATTAGGAACTGAAATTGGCAAGGACTTAGCAAGAAAAAGGAGATATTAATGTACACTAAAAGGTCATTTCTTCAGTGGTAAAACATCTCGTGTTAATCTTTTACAGTAAAAGATCGCAACCTTTGCCTAATTTTGAAAAAGAAAGTGGAAGGCTAATTAAATAATTAAGCAACATTATAGATTTATCCTTTCCAAGTCTTACCGTTATAAGCAATTACATTCAAAAAGAAAATACACTGGATGTTGTACCATATTTGCATTTATCTGTTTTTACAATGGCTTAATAGAACTAACTGCAATTTAAAAATATTTTCATCAGGGATTTTAAGTAATACAGATCTCTTGCATTTAGGTTAACATGCCTGCACTGATACAAGCTAAAGCATGGTAAGTCTAAACCCTACATGAAATGTAAGTTGATCGCTCAAATTCTAGCCACAGAAAAAATAGGATTGATGAACTAAATAGGTTAAAAAAATTTGAAAGGCAACAGCATTTTTTAAAAAAAACCCAAAACTCCTGTCCAACTACAGCACCACTTGAGAAACAGGAAAAGCTCAGCCAAATAATTTTGTTTCATAACCTTTGGTTAATAGAGGTTAGATAATAAAACCTTCAGGTTAAGGTTAATGGTGTGCTTTAAAGAGTCCAATTTGATATTGTGTTAATTTGCTGCATTCTGGGAGAAAAAAAAAAAAATCTTTCAGAATACATTTGCTTGAGAAAGAAACAATTTTTTACTTTCTAATGATCTCTCCTAAAAGGCTGTCAAGAAGTCACTCAAGAAGTGATAAACTAATTTACTTCAAAAAACCATATACCAAAGTCTTATCCTCTATATTTAGCTGCAGTGGTGGCTTTTATTTTTTCCTTTACACAGTCAAAGTCTGAGGTAGTGGCTTTTTTATTGCACAAAGGTTTAAAATGAAAATGAAAAAAAGGGTATCTGTTAAGTCTGTAGAGTAAAAAAACAGAGTCCATAAAACCCAGGCAAGGGAAAGGTTTGCAAACTAATAGATGTCCATGTATGCAAGTGATTCTAATGAATCCACTTGTTAGTAAACATATTAAGCCATTGCTTCTGTGGAGGGATGTCCTTGCTGGTTGGCTGGTGAGCCTACAACAATTACTTAGTATCAGATCTGCAAAGAGCCTGGGTGTTAATTCTGCCTTATCACCATTACCTTTTGGGTACCTACTACATAAGGTACTTAATACAGGAAAGACCTTGATAAAACTAATGCAAAAAGTAGGATGGCTCTAATGGGGCAACTAGCAAATTTCTAACTTGCCAAGAATCATTATTGGTTTGTTTTTTTTTAGGAATTATTTGGCTTAAGTGCAAACCTTCAACATAGTGGAAAGCAAGCTAAGCAGTCACCATTCTTTAAAAAGAAAATACACAGCCACTGAAGAATTTGAAGGGTAGAGGAAGGGGGTGGGCATTTCCAGTATGGCTACTGGGAGGACACACAAGTCTGCATGCCAGAAAGCTGCATTTAAGAGAAGGCAGAAAAGATAAGGGCAAAAGCTTAAGTAAGTCACATAGAGAAGCTCTAAGAAAGAGTAACAGTATGAATGAATGGATCTTTTTGTTCTTGACTGACGGGCTATTTATGATGCAAGCAAGGAACATGCCTGTGGAGTGATTAAGTCGAATAAACCTGTTCTTATTCTGTGAATAACTAATATTTCCAAGAAATAACTACCTTACCATGAAAAGAGCCACTCAACTGAAATACACTTAAGTCACTACAGTCACTACTTTGTAATATTGCCACATTATCAGGAAAAGAGGAAAGAAGGTGACCAACAGTGCATTCGTCAGAGCTTAAAGGTTTTGTATTTTTCTCCCTCACACAGGAATTCTGTATGACTAGAAAGAACCAACTGCCTTATTAGAACAGATACACTACAGATTGTGATTTGCTGTAGAGCTAGACATTTTTAGTCTTAAAATATTTTCACTTCCAAAGTCTAAAGTTCTTTTCTAGTACACCTTTAAGAGTTGACCTAATGCTCAAGTCTCAAAAGGTATTAAGTTCTTACTACTCTCCGTTTATTATCAACTACACCAGTAAACTGGCTAATTACCACTAGTAGAGCCCAAGATATTTTATCTGGTGCTTAAGAAACAGACTTTTTTTCCACACCATGTCTCTTTTGTTCAATTCTTGTAACCTTTCCCATTTCAGTTGTTCTTAAACTACTAGTTGTTTCCAGGTTTTTTCCTGAGCTCTTTCAAGTAAATTCTATTAATTTGTTTTTAATTTCTATTCATTTAACTTCATTCATTTCTATTCATTTCTACAGAAGCATGACATAAACAAGTTTTAGTAATTGTCTTGATTCCCATAACAAGCTATCAAGACTGAGGACAGATTCTCTTTTTCAGATACCTACTCTTTCTTCTCAAAGTATTCTTGGCAACCCTGCTAAGGATTTTCTACGTTAGATAGCAATCCACGCTATTATGCCATTCCAGTCAACAAGGTAAAGAACACACATACCTCACTGTAATAATGATGCTTAGCTTTCCAAATGTGTGGGTCTGTTAGCTTCTTCTAGACAGAGGCACATGCATATGATACCACCTCTACCACAAGAGGTGAACTGATAGATACACACCATGTTTCTGATGCCTCCTCACTGGAGAGCTGGGTTTATTGTGGGTTTGTACAACAGGCATTTTACACAAGTGCAACATGGGTGGGATTCCCCCAAAGCCAGCATTTCCTAAGCAGCATATTCACACAGGTTAATATGCCTGAGAAACTGTTGTGTGCACTAGTCACTTGAAGTCAAAGAAAGCAGATTGGAACAGCTTGTTACTGTGACCTGAACAAATCCTTCAGCCTTGTAGGCTGCCCCCATGAAAGAGGACTGCAAGGTGCATGCCACCTGTGCTGCTATGAGCACTCCCTGCTTTCTCAGATTCAGGGCAGGAATTAACTTACTGGTTTAAATGGATAAAAAAAAAATTAAGAAGAATAATACAGGAAAACAAGAACGTCACTGCTATGTTACAGAAATGTGTAGAAAATGTGTTCTCCTGTGTTTTACACTGGAGATAGAAACAACCACAAACTGCATTAAAGCTGAAGTTCCTAAAACCTGCTTTCATTTACACAATATGTCAGTGTGGCATTTCGGGTCACGAGCCTTGGACACCATAATGGCATTCATTTTGCAGAACATTAATTTGGAGGCAGAGAAAAAAGAGAAGTGGAAGTCTTACCCCTGTGGTTCTTGGACGGTCTTGTTTTCCACTTTCTGTTCACACTCTTTTATCATGGAGCTTAAAATAACCTAAGACACATAAGGAAGAAATATACATGATATTGTTTCTTTTGCATTAAAACTTCATACAAAATTTACTCTGCAACTAATTCTGACATTATCAGAACTGTTTAAAAAATTTCTCTGTTGTTTTTCAAGTGCATTTAAATTCCAGCTATTTGATAATGCCTTGTGGCTAGAAACAACAAAATAGTACAAAATACTCTGAAGAAAGAAAATATTTTTTAAATGCTTAGAGCAGTTAAAGACTCCCACCTGCTTCTCCTGGCTTTTTAAAATAGAGCTAAAACAAACCCACTTCTGTGATACACATCCTTTTTTCAAACAAAACTTTTATTTATTAGCAATTAACTTTGACATACATTCATCTTCCCTTTATTTTTCTTTACAGATTTTTCTAGCACCTTTTAAAATTTGTATTTTTACCAACATTATGCATCAAAGAAGTAGAATAGGGAAAG